TGTGTCTTAAAGTCATAAGCATAGAATGGGACATAAAAATTGAGCATAGATAGCGAAAATGAGCGCAATATAAATAGGAAAGCATGTTCTTACTTTTGCGGAAGAAAAGAACTTACGATTGCGGTAGACAAGTATCAGTATTTTTTAGCAACTTGGAAGAAACGGCCACAAGTATTAAATTTTTACTTGACTCCAGCGTGTGAAAGTGTTAAGTGCACAGACATCCATCAAGGAGTTCAAGGTTAAAGCACTGCTTAGCAAGGCATCTTATAAGAGAATGTTTTATAACTTCATTTTAGGTGTATTCGTTGTCGAGTTCTGTTGTGGACGTTCATTTTATTCGACAATTTTAAGGTCTGTCTGAAACACAACGTAACCCGGTATAAAGAAACTATCCGGCCTGCAGCATAATTTTATATTAATTCAGTTACCCCAAGATGCCGGCTTTCGAATGCAAAAACTATGATCTCTGAAAAATAACTATTTATCTAGCATTAATTTTTTCATTGATTTTTCGATGCCCCTAAAGGTCCAATTATAATTTATGGAAAGCGGGCATAAAAATATTCATTCTTTTGCTCATTCAGTAGATAATAACGACTTCTTCTAATTAGATACTCGGAGGAGAGACATAATTCAGTTCTAAAATAGTTTGTTATTGTGGGACTTTTGAGTACCGTGAACTGACCGTTCATAAATTGTCATATCTCTGCATTTACCAATGTGGCTTGTAAATTTAGCGGTATAACTCAAATCCACCGCTTAATTTTATGAACCCTATATGGCCCCCTTTACTACCGTAGAGAAATGTGTGGTTTTCCGTAGGCGGAAAATATACGGCTTGTGGTTCCGAAACCCTGAATGCAAGTATGAGGTTAGAGCGGGTTCAAAATTTTTCGGGAATCCGAGCTGTCTGAAACTCAACGTAATCCGGTATTCAGAAACGGTACAAATTGATTCCACGGGAAAAAAGATTCGTTGTATACGCAAAGTGGTATGATTAAAATCACAAATGTCAACCTTATTTAAATTTATTAAGCACTGACATGTCTCTTCGTGAAAACTTTCCACCCACGACGTCCTTATCGGGAAATCAAACAAAATTCTGTTTGCATTATTGAACCGCATCTCAATCAATTCAAAGGCGTAAATAATATCACGAAGCCTCAAGAAAATCTCTTGGAATCTACACTCAGGATGTAGGTTGTTGGCATACCGTCTTGCATGTGTTTTTATTCTCTTTGGGACTTTATCTATGAGCATGGATATTGGATCCTCAAGTTGGTATCGGTCTGCCAGTTATTAGTGATCATTCCTAAATTTTAACGCCCAATCGTGAGTAAGGTAACGAACAATACGAATCCAACGTTATGGCAAATCAAGAAGATTATTAGGATGATGACTGTCATGATAAAGAGATGGATTGATGCTGACTTCTTTTCATTCACTATGGCATGAGACAGCCTACCTGGTGTGGTGGGCCAATCGGAAACTGTTGAATTTTAAAAACGGACACTTGTTTGTTGGGAAAAAACCACACATATAATCAAAACTGTTTCAGTGGGGCAAGTTTGAGCACCACTGACACACGAGAGTTCGACGGTCGTTTCCGATGATGTCCACCGTGTGCTCCACAAGAAGGTGAGAACAGGGACACTGACTTGCGCGTGACATAGTTTATAGTGAATGCAGACTTTCGGAGCACCTACCGCACTTTCTTCTCTTCCCTCACCCGGATCCCGTGTTAAGACATAATTTACAAGATCAGAGGTGGAGGAGGGCGCAGGTGGCTGGCATGGCCGAAGCCGCGCCTAGGCGTGCCGCCAACGCCCTGCTCGGATGCCACAGAGTGGAAGTGCCACGAAGGCCACATTAAGAAGGAGCCATTGCAGCCTGACTCCTAGACCACCAGCCGGCCGCTCCACACAAACATACACAACACTGGGACGACTGTGATTTCCAAGTTATCCCGTCAGTAGGCAGCCTTCCAAGCCACGGCTTTTAGCGCACCGTGATTCGTCGACCGCACTCTCCCTTCCCATTCCAACACCCCAG